TTCATTATTATAAATTTTGTTTATAATCTAAAGAAAAATAATTATAGTTCTTTTATCTGCTAATTAATTTAAATTTTGAATTTTATATCAAGAAATTTTAATGAACACCTTATTATTTTGTACTTTTATTTTTAATCTATATTAATTAAGAGCATCTTTTAACAATATGATTTAAGTAAGACGATTTGATCAATTATTCATAAATTAATAGTAATAACTATTACAAAATTTCTTAAATCTTTATTAAAGAAATTTAAGATACTATAAATCAAGTCGATTAATCGAATATATGCAGAAATTTATATATTTAAAAAATGTTCATAAATTTAAAAATAATGACATTAAATTTATAGAATAATATTAAAATATCTAAAATAATAATACTATTTCTTAGTAAGATTATTGATATTATTTATCATTCTTATTTTGGGGTTTCTTGTACTAATTATGTTTACTCTTTATTTTAATCTTCATTTATTGCATTTTCGATCACAGAATGATCCGATAAGAATTTAAATTGTCTTTCCATATCTTCAATTTATTATGAAGGAGTTTTTGAGTTATGAAGTTATTATTAATACAATATTTGTTATTATTATTTTTATTATTTAGTAATAATTTTGATATTACTTTCTAATTTATATCTTCCTTAGGTTTGATAATTTTCTTGTTTTAATTGAGCATATTCTTTAACAAATTAATCAGAATCTGTTAGATATGATAAACAATCACTATATAAGAATTACAGATAATAATCAGCTAATACTCTAACAGATACAAGATCAACTTTTTTATTATCATTTTATGGTTTTAATTCTTGAAATCTATTTTAGAAATATTCAGACATAAAGACTCCAAATGTTTGAATATAGCTTTCATTGTTTTTAGGTGGTAAATCTACATATTTTTAAAGTGATTCAAAATATGTACCTTCCCACCACTTTTTATCTGATGAACTGAATATTACTTAGAATTTAGAAATATGATATAGGCTAAAGAATAGAATGAGAACACCAGTCATATATTTTTTATCTTAATCATTAAATTTTGCTTCATATAAGCAACATTATGTAACATCATTGTATAATTTTTCAGCTTTTTTGATATATCTAATGTGAGGTTTAAAGTATTATAAATAATCCATATATCTTTTGATGATTATGCTAAAAAGAATTTCTGAAATGAGAGTTTCATAATCAAATTAAGTATTCCAAAGATATCTGCTTATAGGTTCACTAATTAGAAATTAATAATGTTATTCTGGGGTTTAATGTTATGGTAATTGGGGTTTGTTAGCTCTTCGTTAGGATTATAATTTTTAAGCCTTTGACTATCCTCCTCCCATATAGATATTAAATTAATAAAAAATAATATGTAAAATCCACTCTTTTACAAAAGTAAGTGTTTGATTATATATAATATAGATCGATTATAGAGAGGAGATAATTTGAGTGTGAAATTTATAGTGAGCTTATCGTAAAATTTGGAATATTAAAAGAATGTGTTAAAGTTTTGGGATTAGATTGGAAAGAATCCATAAGGGAAAGTATTGACAACTGAGTTATTAGAAGTAAATTTATATTGTTTATTATAGGTTATTACAGCAATAATGAAGTGTGTAATATGTTTACCAGATGAAAGTTTGAAACAGTTATCATAATAGTATTTAGAATCTATGACAGATGTTGATCCAAATTTACCAGAATACTTGTGTTATCAAGTGTTTGTAGATGCATTAACTTAATTGTTGTTTTAATTGATTATTCAACCAGATTTGAGTTCTGCAATTTATCTTTTGTAAACAATTCATGCTCGTATATATCGTCGTTAGTTGATAGATGTAAAAGGTATTATTAATATATTATAATTATTAGATAACACAAAGAAAGATATAGATTATCATATTCTTGTTAAAATACATAATACAGATAAAGTTGAATATAGTTTGAAAAGTGATTCAAAAAAGTCTTTCTTCCCTATCTATTATACTGAGTAATACATCTATAATGAAGAATAATTATAGAGTGCTAAAGTGATTCCAAGTAGAATAATCAAATATAAATTGGCACCCTTAAATGAAATTATTCCTATTGGAATGAGTTGTGAATGCATGATATTTAATTTGATGAATAATAAATGTGAATAATAAGCTGAATATCAACATTATACTTCAACATAATATTCATTTGCTAAAGAAATTAAATTGGTTGGTGATGTTACTGAAACATTTTTATCAACTTTACCTAATAGTCAATTAGTTCCAGAGATTGGATTATAATTTATAATAGAATAAAATGATGATTCATATGGATAACATTCACAATATTATAAATTATGTAAATAGATAATCAGAGATATTTAATGGTCTTAATATCCATTAAATAATTAAGAGGGAAACAAATTATTAATCAATATCAAAAGTGAATTCTTTACAGAAGAAGATTATAGAATTGATTAAATAAGCAAAGTTAATAAGAAATGGGAAAGAAAGATAGTATCAGCTAAAAGATAATTATTAACTTCTTAATTATAAACCTTTGATATTAGTAAATCATCAAATCCTGATAAAAGATAACCAAAGAATATTCAATCTATCTTAAGAACTTTCTTAGGTGATCTGAATTAACTAAAAAATTAATAATAATTAGAATCTGCATTAGAAATTATTTAAGAATAATAATCTAATATTTAATTACCATCATTTTAATAATATTTGAGTAAATTCATATCACCAAAAGGATAATTACCTATTGATAGTAAGAATCCTTATGAAGATGATGTTATTGAATATGCAAATTAAGCACCTCCTTAAATATTTTTGATTGGAAAACCTAGAAGTGGTAGAAGTACATTTGCTAAAGCATTGGCTAAATAACTTGATTTGGAATATTTAGATTTAGAGAAAGGAATTTAAAGAATCTATGCAAAAGTAGCAGAAAATGAAAATAATCCATAAATGGATGAAGAGGGTAATCCAAAAGAATTTTTGAATCCTTTAGAAAGAGAGGTTATTGATTCATTAAAATTTGGAAGAGAATTGACTTAAGAATAATTAGAATAATTGTTAAATGTTGAATTACAATAAGATTTACCTAAAAATAAAGGATATATATTAGATTTACCTTTAGAGAATTAATTTTGGGTAAATTCCATATTATCAAACAAAATGATTCTACCAAAAATAGGGTGTAGATATTTCACACATGTTGTCAATTTAGAATAATCAGATGAAGATGTTTTGCATTTTGCTGCTAGTATAATGGAAAAATAAGATGATTTAATTGCTACATCATAATTTGATAGAGAAGAGTAGAAGAGACCAAAGATAAAATATAAAGATCCTAATGATCCAGATGAAGAAGAAGATTAAGGAGACAATCCAGATGATGAAGAAAAACCACCTATTATACCAGAAAAGGATCTTTTTTATAGACCTTTAGATTAAGAATTTTTAATAGAATCACTTCAAAATTTTCAATAATCATGGTAGAAACTATTATCATTATATGATCATTTACCAGATTAAAATATTATTACACTTCAATCAGCTGGTTTAACAACATAATAATTAGTAGATCGTGTATCTACATAAATTTTAAAAGGATAACCCTTAAGACCTCTAGCTATTAAATTAGAGGGTGGTTCAGAGAAGGATTTGTTAGGATTAAATTTAACAGATGAAAAAGTTTATAGAATGTGGTCATAATGGTAATAAGTTGATGCAGTTGAATTAGTATTAAAAGATAAGATTATACCAGGTAAGGCAGAATTTGCTTGTGAATATGCAGGTAGAGTGTTTTTGTTTGATAATGAAGAAAATCAAAATAAATTTATTAATTATCCTAGAAAATATTTATGTAAACCTCCATAATTGCCTAAAACATATATAGTATCAGTTTAAGGTCCTAAATTTTCAGGCAAAAATACTGTTGCTAGTCAATTAGCTGAATTTTATGGATACACTTTAGTTGATGTTGAAGATATAGTGAGAAAGAAAGTTTAAGCTTAACAAGAAAGAACTAAACATTTAGCTTCTACATTTGATCCAAGAGTTAATGATATTCATTTAACAGAACCTGAATGGAAAGAATTCTATAAAGGAAATGCTATTAAAGATGTATTACCTATGGTGTTGAATTATTTAAATATACCATTATAAAGAAAACCTCCAGGATGGGGAGAACCAAAAAAAGAGGAAGAAGAATAACCACCTGAAGAAGATGAAGAAAAGAAAAAGAAGGAAGCCAAAAAATAATAAGCAAAAAAGAAGAAGGAAGAAGTTGTTGAAGTTGTAGAAGAGAATGTTAAACCTGTCACTCCACCTCCTGAAGATGTACCAACTAAAGAGATTATTCCATTATTGGATAATGAATTAAAAGTTCCTGAAACATCTAAACCAAAAGGTATAGTGATCATAGGATATCCATAAACATAAGAATAAATTGATTAATTAAATTTATGGGGAATTAAAATAGATAAGATTTTAATATTGTAAGATAGATCAGAAGAAGCTGGATAAATATTATTATAAAGAAATCCTGATATTTTGATTGAACAAGAATTAACATAAATTAATGCATTGACTGCATTATTAAAAGAAGCTTATTAAGAAGAAAATGTTAAAGAAATTCCTATTGATGGAACTAAAGATGAAGTATGGTCAAGAGTACGTTTGGCATTAGATCCATTTTATATTAGAGTAGATGATGAAAGTTTAGTAAGAGCACCAGCTGATGTTTAAGAGGGTGAAGAACCTATTCCTTATGGTGATTATGCTAATTATTGTCCTGTTACATTATAAAAAACTAATTGGTTAGTACCAGGAAAAGAAGAATTTATTGCTTTAGTTAGAGGAAGAGTGTATAGATTTTATGGAGAAAAAGAATAATAAATATTTAAAGATAATGTCTAATTGTTTGTTCCTTCAAAAATTACAATACCATAACCAAGAATAATGTTCATTGGTGTAAGAGGAAGTGGTTTACGAACTCAATTGAAGATATTGAATAGATTATATAAGTTACCAGTTTTAGATTTGAAAGCTAATTTAATTTAAAATTTAGAGATTAATAAAAAGAATAGATAATTAAATAGATATTATTTGAAAGGATTTAAACCAAAAGAATTGGATGCTGATGGAAAAGAAATTCCAGATGCTGAAATAACTGAAGATCCAGCTGATTTTGATCGTAAAGCTCATGAAATCGAAGTATTAAATAAAATCTTAGATTGTGCAGGTGTTATTATAAATGCTAATTTCTTTGATGTTTCAGAAGAACTTGTTTCAACTCCTATTGTTGATTTATTAGTTGAAGCCAAAAAATTACCTGAATATGTTATCTTACTTAAAATAGAACCTGAAAATTTTATTAAAAGAAATTTTAATTCCAAGGTTATTGAAGATGAATATTAAATGAAAATGGAAGAATTGAGATAGAAAAGATATTAGGAAAGAGTGGAAGCAAGAAATAAGGCTATAGAAGAAGGAGCTGAAGAGTTACCATCTTTGGAAGCACCTCCAGGTGAAGAAGAAGATCCAGAAGCACCAAAATTAGATGAGATGTTAAAAGAATAGAAAGATAAATTATTATAATAACATGAAGCAGATATGGCTAAAATAGAAGAATTATAAAGATAATTTGAAGAATTAAAAATAAATGCAGTAATTCTTAGTACTGATACTACTATTGATAATGTCACAGAAAGAATTACATCATAATTAGAGAATGTTATGGATAGAGAATATAGAGAAAATATGTTAGAAAAAGAATAATGTTAAAAACTAAATTTATATCCAGATCCAACTAATTTTAAATTAAATAAATTAGATATCTATGAAAAATTATATACTCATAAATAATCTAAATATGGAAATAGAAATGCTATTACCTTATAAAATGTTCCTCATTGTAGAGATTATCCTGTTTTATATAGAAATAGAATTTATTATCTTGATAATGAAGATTAAAGAGAATAAGTATGTTAAAGACCATATAAATACTTTTATAAACCTACAGTTCCCAATGATGTTTAAATTAAACCTACTATATTCATTTTAGGAAAAGTTAAGTCAGGAAAAACTGAGATAGTTAGATTATTAAGTGAAAAACTTAAATTAGCTAGAGTCAAAGTATCTCATTTATTGGCTGATTTTGTTACAAATTAAACTGATTTATTGGCAGTAAATATTAAAAATTAATTGAAAGAAGGCAAGGAAGTTGATACTTAATCTATTATTTAAATTATACAAAAAAGAATTTAATTGGCTGATATCTATAATTAAGGATACATTTTAGATGGATATCCAAGAACTATTGATGAAGCTTTAGCATTATCAAAAGTAGGTATCATTCCAACAGTTGTATTTGTTTGTGATAAAGATGATGAATATGTTATTCGTAAATTAAATCCTAAATTTGGAGGTATTGATCATGTTGTTCATTCAAGATTATAAGCAAATTAAACTTCATTATTAGCATCATATTATTCATCACATTTTAATAATGTTAGATATTTATAAGTTGGATAAGTATCTAGTTGGGGTATGATCTCTTTATGTACTAAATGTATCTAAGAGAATTTATATTCTCGAGCTTTAGTGGCAAGATCATTAATTACATAAGAACCTGTAAGAGTAAGTGCATTAACTTTAACTGAAGAATAAATAATTTAAAAATTAAGTCCATTATATAATTATTGTCCTGTGTTAATAAAAGCTAAAAAGAATTATTTGGCCAGTTAGTTAAGAAGTCCATATTTATTATTTTATGATGATTAATTATATTTTGTATCAAGTGAAGATACTGAATAAGATTTTATAAAGAATCCCACTCATTATTGCAATAATTCAATTGAAAAATATAAGATACCAAGATAATTAACTGTTGGTGATAAATTTGATCCATTTCCAGAATATAAAGGTATTACAATAATATTATTATTTATAGGACATTGTCCAGTTGAATTGATTAATAACAATTTAGTTAAGGGTCTTAGTAACTTAGTGATTGTTCATAAGAATTAATAATTAATATTTGCTAATGCACATAATATGCAATTATTTGAAATGAATCCTTAGAGATATAAACATGCTAGATTACCTGATAAAATGTAATTGGGAGAATTATAATCTGTCAAAGTATATTAAATATATATATATATATTAGAATATTGCAAAAAAGGTTGCTAAGAGAGGTGATTGTACATCTTATTTAGAATTACATTTAAAGAATATTATCATAAGAGTTTTAGCTCAATTAGGATATTAGAAACCAAAATATCCTACTTTATCTTGTAAAGAGACAGTTTTGAAATTTATTGCTATTTCTTTGAAAGCTAATAATAAAAATAAGGATTCATTTTATAGGAATAAATATTAAGAGAAATTAGAGAAATTCATGAAGAATTGCACTTTGGCTTAAGAGATTTAAGAGATGTATAAGAAATCATAAGAAAGTGAAATAGATGAAGAGACTTTATTATAGAAAGTAGAACAATTTGATGAATTCATTACTGAATTAGAGGGAATGGAGAAATAGAAGTATTTTTAATAGTTCATCAGATGATTTTTACATTTTCATTGAATATTCAAACAAATATAGTTAATTTTTATTTTAACAAATATTGTATATAATTAATATTTTTGAATTCAAAACATAAAATGCAACGAACTCTTGATTAAAGGTAAACCACTGAATAAATTAGGCGAAATAACAATTAAAATAATGCAGATCTTCTTCTTTCAGTTTATGAATTAACTGCAAGGTCATCTCTATAAATTGGACAAAGACCTAGATAATAGAGTCAAAGTAGAGAAAAATATAAATTTAAATAATGCGAATAAAAGAAAGTAGATTTGATGAGTATATCATCACCAGGAAGTTAAAAAAAGCTACCTCTTTCACCTTAGTTAAAATTATAATCTCCTAGAGAACCTGGCTTAATTTTTAATTTAATTAGAGCAGCAAATAATGCAATTGAAAATAATACCGATGATAAAATTATTCGAACATATATGTAAATTAGAACATAAGTGGAAATGAGATTAGTAATTATTTTATTAATTAGTAGGATGTTTTAGAATCTGCAGATTCATTAGCTGTATAATTAGAAAAGATTAAATAAGAAAATGATACTTTAAGAAAAAGAGTTAGTGATAACATTAATTCATAATCTCTATCAAATTTAGCATAATTAAAGATGCAATTATAGAAAGCTGAAAAAAAAGCAGAAGTAATTAAATGATAATTATTTATAGAGTAGAAAAGTTTGTATCAAGAAATTATATTAATTATTAGACAAGAGTGAAAAGGAATTAGAATTATATAAATCAGGTAAGAAAAGTGCAAAAACATCTTTCTCTAAAAAGAATGAATTGAATGAAATATTAAATGGAGTATATCCAAAAAATAAAGAAAATTTACCTGAAACCTATGAACCTTTGTTATTATCTTTGATTAAGGATATAGATTAGAAGAATTATGAGGCTATTGAAAATCTATCAAAGAACAATAGTTTAAATGGAGACATTGAAAATGAGAAGAATACTCTCATATAAAATTCATTAAGTAAGTACTCATCTCTATTACAAAGAATCCTTTAAGTTAATGTGTGAATAGAAGGAAGAGATACTCAAATATTCTGCTTAAATCTGCGAGAATAATTAAGATCTATGGAAGAAGTTTTTAGAAATTGATTTAACATGCTAAAAATAGATATCTACTCTTAGATAAGCTATATCTGAATTAGAAACTAATATTAAATCTTATTATTAATATTTAAATAAGATTGGTCATCATTCAGCATAAAAATTCCAAGATGCTTATCAATTTTAAGGAGTTATTGGTGATAGCATAGCAAAATGGCTTAAATAGTTAGGAGAAATCTAAGAAATAATTAATTAAAGAGAATCTGAATAATATGAATTTTAATAATTTTAAGAAACTCTTGTAATGAGATTAAAAGAGATCATATAAAATAATAAAATAGTCCATAAATAAAATGATTTCAAGGGTTTACTTGATGCTATTAATGATAAATTATTCAATTAATCTGAAGAAATATTAATAATTAATAAGGAATTAAATAACATTCATATCAAAGCAAAATAATAGATAGAAGAAATATAAAGTAAATATAAGTAAGAATTTTCAAATTATGAATTGCAACTCAAAAATTATAAAGAACTTTATGATTAACTTTCAAGCACTAATAAGGATTTATTATAAAAAAATGAAAGCTTATAGACTGAATATAATAGGTAAACATAAATTAGTGTATCAGCATTATAGAATAAATAATAAGAAATATAAAATCTTAATGAATAAACAAAAAAATTAAAAGAAGACATCACTAAATCATAAGAACTTAAATTAACTTATAATGAATAATAAACACAAATTAATTAATTCAAAAAAGAAATCGAAAGATTAAATTAAATTATTTTATAAAACTAATTGAAATCATCTTAATAAGAAGAAAATCATATCACAATTATTGAATAGAATAAATAAGAAATTACAAGATTACATTAATTAATTATTGATCTTCACAGTTAAATAGAGTAATCTGATAATTAGATATCCCTATTAAAAGAAGCTGAATAGATTATAAAAGATAAAATTAATAAAGACAATATTTTATATTAAGAGAAAATAAAAAAATTATAAGAAATCATATCAAATAAGGAAATTGAACATAATGCATTAGAGGAAGAGTATAAAGCTATTTAATCATAAAATATTGAATTCTATTCTTAATAACAATAAGATTAAGATACAATTAAATTGATAAAAAAAGATCTTTAAAAGAATTAAGAATAATATGAAAATAAAATAAATGAATTCATTAAATTATCTGAAAAGTAATTGACTGAAATTAAAGATCTATCTGATAAATATCAACAAACAGAAAATGAAAGAAGAAACTAAGATGAAATTATTTCTAAACTTAAAAAAGAATAACTTAAATAAACTAATGATCATTAAAAATAAATCAAGATTTTATAAGATCAATAAAAATAATCATAAGATATATTATAATAAAAATTACAATCTTATGAAAGACTCAATGAATAAAATTAAATGATTATTGGTGAATAAAAAAAACTATTACATGAATAATAAACATAATTATAAAAAGTCAATTAAGAAAATGAAGCATTATTATAAAATAATAGTGAATCTATGAAATCAATAAAAGATTAATATGAATTATAAGCATTAGAATTAAATTAGACTAAGTAAGTTGTACTTGATCAATAGGAATTAATCTAAAATTAATAATTAATATATCATGATACATAATAAGAATGTTCAAAATATAAAAAATATTTAGAACAATAAGAAATTGTTAATAAATAAAATTAATAAGAATTGAATAAAACAATATAAGATCAAACAAATCTCATAAATTAATTAAAATCTAATCTTGAAGATTTTGATAAAAAAATAATAGAAAAGAATACTTCAACAGAACAATTATAATAAACTCTTAATTTAACTTAGAATCAAATTGAATAACTGAAATTGGAATCTACAGAACTTAATGATACTATTGAGTAAAATAAAAAAATAATAGAGAATTTACAATCTTAATTATTGAATTAATAGAAATAACATGATACTTTATTAAAATAATTGTAAAATGAATGGTAATAAATTTAATAATAAAACAATTTGGAAAAAGAATCTAAAATAGTGACTATAAACAAATAAATCTAAGAATTATAAGATTAACTTTAAGAATAAAAAGATTAATATTAAAATACTATTCAATAGCATTAAAATTAGATAAAAATAAATAAAGATAACTTTGATGTAGAATTAAAATAAAAAGAGAATTTATTGAATTAAATTAATTCATAAATGTAATAATAAATTTAGAAAAAAGAAGAAGAAAAGTAGAGTTTGGTAGAATAAATATAAAATTTAGAAAGTAAAATACTTTTATTAGAATAAAAAAACAAAGATAATTATTTATAATCGTAATCCAATCAATAATTATATGCATAATTAATTCAATAGTTAGAGACATTATAATAGGAATCTCAAAATGAATAATAAAAATGGAAAGAATAATTGTAATTGAAAGATGATAAAATTAGAACAATTGAAATAAATTATAAATCTGATATAAGTAAATTAAATGATTAATTGAAACAAATAAATGAAAAGAGAAATCAAATAGAATAAGATTAACTTAAATTAATTGATACTGAATAATTAAAAGATCAAGAGTTATTATAATTAAAAGAATAATTAAAATAGAAATAAAATGAAATTGATTCAATTGATAAGTTATTAAATGAAAAACTTTTAGATAATGAAGAATTAAATGGAAAATTGATGTTGGTTTCAAAAGAAATGAGTCTTTATTAAGATTAAAATTTTGATTTATAGTAACAAATATCTGAATAATCAGAATTAAATACAAAAACAATAAATAACTTAAATTAGAAGATTAATGAATAAGATTAATTAATAAATCAACTAAAGACATAAGTGAAAGATCTTGAAAACTAAATGAATTAATAATTAAATTAAATGGTTTTGCAATAATAGGATTTAGTTAAGATTTAATAATAAGAATTACATAAATATTAAAATGAATTAAGTATTATTTAAAATTAATACGTGGAATTATAAAACAAAAATGATGAATAATTCAAATAAATATAAATTTTACAAGAAGATATACAAAATAAAGATATTTTAATAAAAGACCTTTAAAATTAAATTGATTAACAATAAAATGCATTTAATAGAATAATTAATGAAAATAAATAGAAATAAGAAGAAATAGATAATATATTTAATATATTAAAAGATCGAGAATAGGAAATTGAAAATCAAGTATCAGTTTTAAATAATTATAAAAAGTTACAAGAGAAATTAGAGTAAGAATTTAATGATAAATTACTTAATTTAAATTAAACAAGTTAGGAATAAATGGAATTGAAACAATAGATTTAATAAATTTAATAAGAGAAGGTAAAAGTAACAGAGTAATTAGAATAAAAGAATTAAAATTTGATGGAAACACTTAAAAATCAATAGATAATTTGTTAATCATTAAATGATTAATTATTATCTAGAGAGAAAGAATTATAAGAATAAGGAATTTTAATAGAATAATATTAATAATAAGTTTTGTAATTAAATGAAGAGTTGACTATAATAATGGAAGAAAAGTCATAATAGAATTTGAAAATTCATTAAATGAGAACAAATATTGAAAAGATATAATAAGACTTTGAAATAAAAAATATTTAATTATAAAATAGTGATTTAACATAAGAAAATTAGAAGTAAGAATTTGAGTGTTAATTAAATGAACTAGGTAATTAAAATAAGGAATTAGTTATGAGATTGAGCGAATTGTAAGAGGAGAATAATGATTTAATAGAATAATTAAGAAAGAGAGAGAATGAATGTAGATTGAAGATTTTTGAGATGGGAGAGAAGAATCGTTTTGAAAATTAGGAATAGAATAAAATTAATTAGATTTTATAATAAGAATTATCAATATCAGAGGTAAGTGAAGAGAATGTTATAAATGCTTTATCTTAAATAAAGAATGAATTTTAAGAATTATTAGACAAATAATCTTAATATTCAACATTGATATTTTAATTATACTCTGAATTATTGACAGATGATGAAGAAGAAGATGTTGAAAAATAGATATAAGTTATTAGTAATGAAATAGTTGGATTAATTGATGTTAGAGATAAATATAAGAAAATATAAAATGAATTCGAGGGTGAAGGAGATATTCTTATGAAAATAAAAGAGTTAAAGTAAAATGAATAGAAGAAATAAAATAATAATGCATAAGATGTAAAATCAATAGAGGCTTATTCGTAATTATTAGATGGGCTTATGCAAGAATTTTTACATAATAGAGTTAATTTGACTATGCAATCTATGAAATCATTATTGACAGAGCAATAAAGATAAAATGTTAATGAATATAGAAAGAAGATTGGTGAATTATAGAATAAATTATTATAAGCAGAAAAATAATAAAAATGTATTGATGATACAAAATTCAATTTATAACAATATTAATAGATTGTTGATAAATCAGAAGTAAGTATATTAATTTTATAATTATTAGTAAAAAGCTATGTATTATGAAATGGAATGCAAGAAATTAGTTTAATAAATTTAAGATATGAAATAAAAGATTCCTTAAAGAATTAGTTTGAATGATTTAGATTAAGATTAATCAGAATAACATAGTTTAAATATTTTGAATTTTTCATTAAGATAAGAAATCTTATATGGAGATGATTCATTTTTTGATAATATTAGTTAAATTAAGGATGATGATGATATACATAAAAAATGCCAGTAATAGATTGTAAATTATTTATAATATATTTAAGTTTCTTTTAGTTGAAGAATGTTAATTATTACAAGAATAATTAAATATGTAGAAGGAAGACAAGAATATTGAAATTAAATGATATATTTTTTATAATAGTAATTTACTTGATTAAATTGATGAAGTCTGGTAATATCAAAACAGAAGCATAATATGCAAAGGCCAATTTTTATTATTCTGATGGAACAGGTATCATAGAAGATTTAATAAAAATCAGGACGTGATACTTATGTTCAATTTGATAACGGTGGATTAACATTACATGCTTAAAGATGTCATCAACCTCCTGTTGGAAGCTTTTAACCTAAAAAATCAAATAAAATCTATAGACCTTAATCAAGCAATAAGACTCTACATTATATTAGCAATGGAAGTGGAAGAGATAATTATATTTTGTAAATAGTATTAATTATAAATGTGAATAGAGATAGTCATGGTGGATTGATGAATACATGTGCAGATAGACATTGGTTAGTCTCATTTAAATAAGGCTTGAGAACTCCTGAGAGGGAAAGGTAGTGATGCATACTACTTTATAGACCTCGTTCTGGTGCCAAAACACCTTAATATTCTTATCAATAGAAAATTTGTCGACGTCTTTCTGTTCCTAAATATGTAAAGATTCCATTTGAAAAACAATTATAAAGTGAAGATATCATATGAAATAATAATACAAAATATATTATTTTAACAGAATAATTAATGAGCTTTCAAGAGATCTCGTAGCAAATAGAGGACATGACCAATTTCCTTGTATGAATTCTTATTTACTTTATAGTTAGAATAAAGTGATGACAGTTTAGTCAATGCTTCACCCACTAATAGAGAGTAAATAAATCTGATTATTCATGATCAGAAAGTAAAATAGAGAATAAGTGCTATGTTGAAACAAAAAGTAAATATTTATAATACTATAAATAGAGTAGACAATATCCACATTAATATTTGACAGTTGAATTATCAAGTGAGGATAATTATGAAATTGAACTTGATTAAGATGATATTAAATAAGTAACGAGAATTTTATATAAAAAACTTAGGTTTGTGAAAATTTTGGAGAAGTTAAATAAGTATATACAAAAGTCAATGGTGCAATTATAATTAAATTCAATTCAGTTTTTGATGCTTTCATTGTTTATAAACTATTAAACAAACATTAAATTAAAGAATTAGATGTCACTATAAAAATAGAATTCACTAGTCAATAAGATCTTTTAGAAATAATGGAATTATAAGATTCTAATCAACAAAAGTTTACTTGTAGATATGATGTATAAATCGATAATGACAAAGATTTCCAAGTAGCTCGTAAGATCATTGGTATTAAATTGAAATTTATTTGAGGTGCTAAAGGATGCAACATGAAAAAGATAATTGATTAATGTCTATTTGATTGTGATACAAAAGAATAAGATTTGGTTAAATTAAGATTAAGAGGAAGAGGATCTGGATATAAAGAAGGACCTGAAAAAAGAGAATCTTAAGAACCTTTACATTTATGTGTATCCTCTAAACATAATCATCTCTTTCTTAGAGTAATTATTATAATAATAAATATAGGCCTGTCAATTGGTAGAACAATTATTGAATAAAATTTATGATGAATATAAAATGTTCGGATTAAGTAAAGGAAAGAAATAATTAAATTATGGTATTAAAAAAGTTTAATAACCTTAAAAATCTGTAATAAAACCTAATTTCATGCCTGAATTACCAAATTTTAATTTTTCAAATGTATAATAATTATTTATATAATAGAATCAATTCATTGATTTTAATAATGAAAACATGATGGGTTATTCAAATTTACCTAATTAATTAATATGACATAGATATCATATATATATATATTATATATATATATTAAATCACTCTTATTTTTTTTGTCTGACAATTTAATCATCTTTATCTTTCTCATAAATAATTGTCAATACTCCATTTTCAACTGTAAATGTACTCCATTTCCTTTCATAAATCTCTGGAATTTTGAATGACAAAGCAAATTCACCATATTTACGTTCACTACGTTCTAGTTTTTCAGACTTATAAAAAATAAATAAATTGAAATACATCATAAGGTCTTTTACGTATTCCTTTAATAATAGTTACAACATTTTAACGATACACAAGGATTTCATTTTTGGTTAATCCAGGTACATCCATATAAATAATGTATTAATCAGTAGCAATAATATCAGTATTAGGTAAGAAACTATCAGGTCTTGTCATTATTAAACCACTTGAATCAATAGAGACTTAAGGTATTCTGACATTACTATCTTATACTTCTTATTAAGTAACAATAGTTTTAACTAAAAAGTCATCAGTATCTTAAATCTGAAGTGTAAGTATAGTTCTGAAATAAGATGATAATTTAGTCTAAATGAATTGAATGAATAACTAAATACCTTACTAAATTAAATGATACTATCTACAACAGAGAATTATCTATTAACAGGAACAAATACTGCCTTTAACCAATATCTTAATAATGAAAAAACCCAAGGATTAATTGACATTCCTAAATATGAATCATCATTAACTAAACAAACATGTCTAGTAAATTCAGTTTTGAACCATAAAACATGTTTTTCTTATAATTAATGATTGATTGGATTAATAGATGCTACTTTTGTTCTTTAAATAGATCCATTTGAATAGATTTAAGTAACTTGAGTACTCCAAACATGTTCTAAGATTTCAGGTGATTCTACTTCTTTCAGATTATGTATAACAATAATTTCTCTAAATGTTTTATTTGGAGAATTCTAAAGATTTCTACTCAATCTATCTAAATATCTTTAATCAAGACTAGTAAAATCATTAACTACACATATAAAATAATCTGATATTTCAAAAACTAAATCAGTAATGAACATTTCTGTAGCTTCTTTTTCTACAATACTTAATTCATTTGTAATTTTAACAGGTGAATAACTACCTGCAGTATCAACAAGTATTAATTATGTACCTGAATCTACATTTACATGTTTAAATGAGACACCTTTTGTAGTTACTTTCTTTCCTGAAGGTAAATTAGAAGAAGTAAGATTATTGAGTACAAAGGTTTTTCCTTTATCATATAAACCTACAACTGCAACAGCTGCACCTTCCCATTAAGCTTTATGTTATTATTTAGTAAATCCATAATTAGGTACTTCTAATTCTGATTTGACTTATGCATCTGCAAATTTCTTTGATAAATATACTTTCCAACCATTTTTAGCAATAGTTGTAATTAAATCTATATCAACAATCCAATCATATACACTTGTTTCATCTATTTCAATTTCTTTTAAATCTGATTATAATTCTTTATATTGAATAGGTTTATATTCCAAATTATATCCTGAAGTAATTGCATTAGGTTTAGTCATAACATCTTCATGTAATACAGATTATTCTTATTATTGTATATTTACATTTTTTGTTAAGAAATCCTAACTCAATGCTTAAACTGAAACATTATTTGGAATTTGTATTTTCTATATTTTACTAGTACTATTTTTAAATCTCCTATTAAAATACATTAAAATAAAATACCCAGTTTATCTTAATGATCTAATTTCATGCCATTTTTTTATAGATTCATAATTCTTTTCAATTTTATTCATATTAATTTCCAATTAGGATAAATGCTTCTGCCTTTATATTTAAGTGATAATTACAATTGTTCTTCTCTCAATAAGACTTTTTCATAAAATTTCTTTTTATCATTACTTCTTATCTTAACTTCATAATAAAATCCTTCAAAATAATCTTTTAATCTTTTTGGAGTAGTTTTATCATTATTATCTAATTATTTAGCTTATCCAATAAAATGCAATAACAGCTATTCTTCTTCATTTTGTATACGTTTTAATTCATAAATCAATTCTTTAATTTCAGCTTTAGTTTCTGGTAATGACATCTTGACTATCTCCTCATTTATTATAGATTAATCTGCATTTAATAAATGTTAATGTTCTTCATCTATTGCTTCCTTCAAAAAATCATGAAATTCTCTTGCTGCAGTTCTAATTCTCTTATCTTCCATATTCTAATTAGGAAAGAAAGGTTTCAAAGGTGCCATTAAATGATGCTAATGAACCTAATCTAGCTTCTCACTTCCAGAACTCATATTTAATTATCAAATAAATATATATATTAATTAGAATCATTTCTTTTATCTATCATATATTGAAGCACCTGTCATTTTAAATAGTATCTCTGGACTTCTATATATCCTAATAAGTAACTCATAAAATATTTCCTCTTTAATGAAATCTCCATCCACTCTTGCTATATATATGCTTTAACACAAATCAAATAATTCATATGTTTCTGGCATCTCTTCAAACATTACTCTTGTACTTATTTTGTCATATGCAAATCTCAAAAATCTACCAATTGTCAACACAAATGTTGCATATATACTTATTATTGACATATTTGTTGATAATGCTCCTATTAAACTACCAAATGCTAATTCATTTAATACAAAGAATTCTATTCTATTTTATGATGATGCTATATAATATTAAATATATTAAATATACCTCCTATTTATTTTAAATCTGTTGAATCATCATTAGGTACTAACTCAAAAAATACAAAATCACTTGTTTTCTTATGTATCAAACGAATATCTTAATAATAACTGATTTCTTCTCTTATATTAACTGGTTCTAATCGTAATGCTTGAGTTTCAGCAGATTCACCAACATATAAGAATTTTGGAACCAATTCTTTTATATCAAATACTGCATCTGGTGCTCTAGGAGCTAAGATTTTACCAAAATTATTAACAAAAGTGTCAGGTGCTTATACAATAGATTAACCTGTAAATGATTTTGCACCACCTTAACTATCACTCTTTTAAAATACCCATTCACATTAGATTTCTACTTAATATTCTTATGATTTTATCATATTTCTAATTTAATCTCTATAATTTTCAGGAAGATTCCATTCAATATCACTAAATCTCTTGATTCTTACTTTTTACATTCTTTCTTACCATGATGTTTCAATTTCACCATATATTTTTTATATTTTTTTAAATTGTTCATTTGGTATATCTAATAATTCTAAATCATTCACTTAAAATAAAGTAAAGAATAACTTATCATCTTAACCAAAGAAAGCAGCTTTAATACTAAATTTACCATTTGTTATATTATTGATTTCTACTGCTGGATTTAATGTACTAAAAATTAGAATTGGTAATATAATAATGAAAACAATAAACATAGAATAAAGACATCCATTTAAACATTTATCAGATGATGATCTTGGATCACCTAATTTATGATTTTCAATACGAGAATCTTAATAAGCTTAACATATATATAAATTAGCAAAGATATCTTCAAGTCTAAACCATTATATTAAATCTAATGCTGTAGTAGTAAATGTCCAATCAATAATAACTCTTAATTCATATAAAAATGGAATCATTCTATATATTTTAAATGCCATAGAATTTGCTGGTTTATGTGAATTAGTAAATATTTAAGTATACTTTTATATAGGATATCCATATCTAATCTAAACAGATGAAATCATAAAATATATACAAACTAGAATATATGCAAATATTAAATAATATGATTCTTAGAATCCTAAAATAATAATTAAATAAATAATACTTTTATTAGTTTTTTATGGTATAACAAAAAAGA